GAAATCGGTGTGGTTTGCCGGTTCGTCTTGTTTGTTTTTTTTGTTAGAAGTGTGGTTTTTTATTTTTCTTGTGTTGATATTGTGGGCGGCGGCCGCTAGTGTTAATCCCTAGCATTTATAGTAATCACCATCACATGCATCCAGTACGAGTATACACAATAGTCGCGCTCCTCTCTCCGCGCGCTCCCCCTTCCCCTTCCTATCTACATACACACTGTAACCCTTTCTGAGCTCCGATACCTGGCTGCCACCTACGATCTCCTCTCATCCTTGCTAAGCAATTGTCTATATCATAGTTAATGGTGATGGGACCCTGTAATTCTGTCCCAGTGGTGGAGAATTAATTGTTTTTCTTTATAGGGTTTTAAACATTTTATGTTTGAAATTGACTTTAATTTTCTCCTTTAAAATGAGTTCCCAAACAAAACCTGGTAAGTAATTGCTCCACCTAAATTTTAGTTGGTGAATTCACTGAATTTATAAAATTGCTTAAATGTTTTGGGAGTATTATTTATAAGTTGTTGATTTAAACTTAACTTACTTTCATGGCTTGGTTTTTTCATTTTAATATGACTTCTATGTTATGTTTTTAATAACACATGGGATATTGTCATATAATTTTGTGAGGGATTGTTATATAAATTATTTGTCTTATAATTTATAGGAGGGGGGAGGAGGAGAAGGGAGGCTTTCTCCATGCTTTTAAAGCGCCCGCACCCCTTGAACTTAATCCTTAGGAGCCAAAAACCACTGGCGCCCTAATCCCACTTCCTCCTATCATTTCACTATTTGGCTCACTCTAATTGTCTTTAAAGGCATTTCCAAGGGGCCCATGTCTTTCCGTGTGTGGTCTTTTGTACATGAGTGAATTACCACTGTATGCGTACATCTTATTTCTTAGTACATCTGGGGCACTAAAAAGCTTGGTTCCCAGTGAACCAGTATGCCTGTGTGTTGTATCCCTGTGGTGCGCACGTGTGGTGTGTAGTTGGTTGTGTGTCGTGTTGTGGTGTGCGTCTTTATGGGTATGGACCGGCATGGGTCGGGCAGGGAACCCACTGACCACGCAGCCATCGGGGTGCATTATAGGAGTGGGATTGCCACTGTTAGGAAGGGATCAGACCGAAGGGTCTGAAACCAAAAGCTGCCACAGGCAGAGCCTCCAGAATCAGCATTCAGGTGTGCTCGAGCGTGTGTGTGTGTGTGTGTGTGTGCGCCAACCCACAAGGGTAACGTTTCTGGTTCCACAGTCTGTGGATGAAAGGGTAATTGCCAGTGGAGGGCAACCTGCAGCTAGCCCAGAGGATGGTGTTCCGTGTGTTGTATTGTGTGTGCATGAAATTCAGTGCTGCGCTTTTGTCCAGTGGAGCCAACACCTCTAAACACACTTGTGTATTCCTGCTTAGGCAACATGAAAATATTGCAGTGTTCGAATTGGGCTATGAATAGATGGTTTGTTGGTTTTACCCTCTGTGCACAGTTTTCTTAATTTACTACCACAGCCAGGTAATTAATGTAGACGCCACGCCTTGGGGAGTCGTTTTAAGCATCGAATAGTAGTACAGAAAGATTCTAGGCTGCAATATGTTGGGCCCACTTTAAACCGGACAGCTGCTGTGCTCTTAAGCTCAAAAGCTTCTGTTAGTAAAAAGTTGGCACATGGCGTACCAATACTGGACACAGAGACGGCAGACAGGTCAGTCTGAGGGTCGGAGTGGGCGGTGGGCAGCCCAGCTCCACTCTGTTAGGGAACGTTCATGGATGACTTTCCTCTCATTCATGGGACCTGACCACCTGGAAATCACTTTACTCCTCTTTTGGAAGCTGTCCCATAAATCATTTGGACTGAATTGATAGCATCCTGGGTGTGACTTCAG